CGCGCCTGCCCGTCCGTAAAATGGGCGTAGCGGTGACCGCCCTTAGAAATCTTTTTCTTAAGGTTACTTTGAGACGCAGGCGAAGGTGTTTTGCGGACTGTAGATGAAAGCGGTGCGCAGAAGCGAGGTACTGCCGAAACTTCCTTCCTGCCGTGTCGCGCAGCTCCTCTCGGCCGCAGGGGAGGGGAGAGGCGCAGCTGCACAGCGCGCACCGGGCCGCTCTGCCAGTTTTGTCACTGGCGTTCAGGTTGGAAGTGACCGCTCCATCGCAGGCTTTTCCGCAGATCGTGGGACGATCCCTGTGTGCTGGTTTCCTCATGAGTGTCTATCTGCCGCGTTTATGCGCAGGAAATACTTTATTTGCGTACTCTAAGCCGTGTTAACTGCTGCGAATGGGGACCCCTCGGAACCCCATGGGGAACCAGGAGATCCCTCCCACACACATTTGCACATTGGCATAGCCTTTGGAGAGATCCACGGGTCACTAACTCCCAAGTTTAAGAATGTGTACAGTTTTGAAGCCCTGCAGCAGTAATTCTGCTTCCAAAAGCTAACCATAAACTGGATTTAATCACTAGAGTCTTAAAACTCTAGCTTTAGGATAAACATTCAGTGAGAACTTGCTGGAGTTGCTGAAGGTGATTCATCTGTCAGTGATGCATCTGCAGTTCTGGTATCTGTTCCAAGTTGGCATACCTGTAAGGCTGACAGATGAAAAAGAGAAGTGGCTTCAAGAGAATATCTTTAACTGTTTTTTCCTAGGGCCTCGCTGATGCGCAGTGTTAAGAGTAGCTTGTTTGTACTCTGTAAGAAAAACGTGAGCATTAGCGTTCCTGTTTTTTAGAGAAACTAAAGCAGTATGCTTTAAGTAACTTGCCCACTGAAAGTTAGAAGTAAATTTTGAACTACAACTAGAGTTTCACCTCTCCTTACCCACCCCCCTCTCTTATCCTTTTGATCTTGATTACTAATTCTGAGTTAAATTTTATTACACTTCCCTAGAACTGTATAGCATTGTCTTATCACCATTTATTTACTAGATCTGTGGTTTGCAAAGGTTTAAAAGCGGCCCTTTTCCTCTAGAAGCTTGTCTCTCAAGGAAAAGACAAATTAGCTGTTACTAGACATTAGCTGTGTTACTAAGTATTTCAGTTGTTTACATATAGAAATGAAAAGCTGGACATGATGGCTCACGCCTGTAATCCCAGCACTCAAGAGGCTGAGGCAGGAGGATCCTTGCGAGTTGAAGGCCAGCCTGGGCTGCAAAGTGAGCTCAAGGCCAGCCTGAACTGCATAGCAAGACTTGTCTCAAAAAAGACGAAAAAAAAAGAATGGAGATATGTAATGTATGAGTGCTGAAAATTAAAGCAGTTATTGCAGTAAATAAGTGTACAGGAAAATGATCACCAAAGTTTTCCCCCAGTGAAATTTTAGAGGCTAGGGAGAGGCATGTAGAAGGATGGAGAGAATTATGTAGGTGGGGGTATTCATGGACTGGGGAGCATTGTCTGTAAAGAATTAGGGATAAAAAGGGAGTACACATCAGGAGCTACAGGTAGATTTTCATGAATAGAGGGAAATGTGAAACATAAGTGATAGGACATTGTACAGTTGCAGAATGAGACCAACTTATCAGAAAGGGTGAGTGAAAATCAATAGGGAAATCCATAAACTTATAAAATTAGAAGCAAATTGACTAATTCCGTTTTACAAGAAGCTGTGGTCAACTCTAACTGCTGTCGAGCTCTCTAGTTCCCCAGTATGTAGCCCTCCTGCAGTCCCTCCAATAATCAGACTTGTAGTGTCCTTCAGTAGAATCTTTGAGATCTGCCCCATTCCATTTTTTTACCTGGCTCTAAAATCAAACAAATTAAAGGTTGTAACAAATTAACAACATCTTAATGCTTCCCCCAATCCTGCAATAAAATATAGTGCTCAGTTGTATGCAGAACCCTTAACTAAAGTCTGCTTAAAGGAAGACATAGTAAGAGTTGATCTTTGCCCTCTAGGAAGTTTTCTCTGTAGGCTGACAGATTCAGGTGTGGATTCATACACTGCTAGGTGGGAGGAAAGCACAATACCTCTGTGCCTGTGTTGTAGGATGACTCACTGGTTGTGTGGAAGGAAGTGGATTTGACCAGACTGTCTGAGAAGGAACGTCGTGACGCCTTGAATGAGATTGTCATTCTGGCGCTGCTGCAGCACGACAACATTATTGCCTACTACAATCACTTCATGGACAATACCACCCTGCTGATTGAGCTGGAGTACTGTAATGGTAAGGGGAACTCAGTACGCCTTCCTCGGACAAGACATTCTTATGTCCACTCTTGAGGGAAGAAGTACAAGAAAAGGCACGTTCAGTGATAAAAACTTCAAATGGATTTCTAGAGTTTAAGAGAAATAGTTCAGGCCTTGGAGAGTTTGGATGTGTTCTCCAAAATAAGGGGAGGAATTTTCCTCAGCATATTAAATTGTTCTGTATGATTATAGTTCGATCTTCAGAGTTTTTTCAGTTAGATTTTACATTTACTTTTCAGCACTTTTTCTTGTGAAATGACATTGGTTATCCATTAGAGATATGGTATGGCTTAGCACCACTTGATACGCTACTTAATGAAATCTTATAGATGATACTTATATTGACATCAGCTAGCCAGGCGTGGTGGTGCACATCTGTAATCCCAGCACCTGGGAGGCTGAGGCAGGAGGATCATTGTGAATTCGAGACCACCCTCAGCTACAAAGTGAGCTCAAGGCCAGCCTGAACTGCGAGACCCTGTCTCAAAAAGACAAAAAAAAAAAAAACAAACAAAAGAGATCAGCTAAAGCTATATTATGGGGAAATGGCCCAGAGATCCAAGTGGATGAAAAGGATAGCAAAATTTGGCCTTACTTGTTTTTAGTTTTCAGGGGATTTTGGATTGTTTTGGTTTTTTTTGAAACAGTGTCATTGTGTACTCCAGGTTGGCTCTGAACTCACTCTGTAGACCAGGCTGGCCTTGAACTTGTGATCCTCCTGCCTCCACCTCTCAAGTGCCGAGGTTAGAGGCCTGCGCCGCCACTCGCAGCCAAGAATGGCCTCATTTATCTGATGTGCCTGGTTGTTAAGAGAATAGACTGAACCCCCATTCCAAATTCTGCTACTTTCCAGCTCTGCCACCTTGGGCAAGAAACTTAAGTCCTTTGTAACTTGGTTTCCTCATCCTAAAAAAGTTTGTGGATTATAGTCCTTGTAGGATTGCATGAAATTAATTTTGAAAACCCATAGTATAGGACTTGGTATGTAGCAGGTGTTTGATACATACTGTACTAGCTGTTACTGTAGAGAAGACCCTCCAAACACTTCTGTGAACTGCATGCTAAAGAATTACCAACATATTCTTCACTTACTTTCCTAAGTTCTTGTGTTTCATAATTCTAATTCTGATCAATCCTAAACATAAGAGATTGTATTAGAAATTTTTGAAAGAGCAGAAGCCTTCAATAGTTAACTTCCTTTGTGGTGAGGAGGAGCTAGACAAATGATACATTTATTGAAACTATGAGGTACTAAATTGCAGGGGAAGAGAAGTTATAAAAACTTAGGGCTAAAGTGTAAATTGTAGCTGTGGGTAGGAAGTAAGATGAATCATGGTCATTTCCTGTGTGTATTACTTGATAAAGAAAAGAGAGAAGTGAATTCACAGGAAGAAGTTAGTAAAAGGAGTAATGACTGGACATAATGTAGGGGTGCACCCTAAGCTTTAAGAAACCTTTTCAGTGTATAAGAAAAAGTTGTTGATAACTATACCCTGTACTGGGAGAGCTGTTATAAAAAGCATTACAGGAAGAAAGTCATCTCACTTTGGAACTGTTTCATTAATTGGGTCCCTACAGAAATGGCCTTTACTCCCACCTTCCTAAAAATGTCATACTTGCAGTGTCTGTATCAAGCCTCTTCAGTTAGGGAGAGGAATTTCTGAGGAATATTTCTGATACAGTCCTTGAGAGATGGGAAGACTTTCGTACCCATTTGAAAAACCACGCAGGAAGACATCATTTCCTGGAAAGCAGGATCTTTTAATTTCACCATGTCACCTGTTAGCACCCTGTTAGATACAAAGAGCCAATCTTTGATCTCTGTTAAACAATTCAGACTTGTTTCTTGTTTAATTGCAGGAGGGAACCTGTATGACAAAATCCTTCGTCAGAAGGACAAATTGTTTGAGGAAGAGGTAATTCATATGTCTGTGGAAAGAAGCTAGAATTATAGGGCTGTAATTCTTTTTATTTGTTTATTTTGTTTGTTTGTTTGTTTGTTTGTTGGGACAGGGTCTTGCTATGTGGTTAAGGCCAGCCTTGAATTCACTGTATAGCCCAAGCTGGCCTAAATTCTAGCAGCAGTCCTCCTGTCTCAGCCTCCTGAGTGCTGGGGTTATAGATGTGCACCATCACACCCGCCATAAGGTTGTAATTCTTACATTCTGGTTCTGTATTTTACTCTTTACTCTTCCAACTATGAAGAGTGTTTTGATTTTTTGGTTTTTGACTTTTCCTTTTGTTCAGACTCCTTCCAAGCTCTGAATGATACTCATGAGAAAGAGAAAGGACACCTGTACCAAGGAAGCCGTCTGTAACTGCTTCCTAAATATTTTACTTCCACATCATGATTTACTGTGGGCTTTCTTTCCTGATTCTGTTACTACATACTAGTATGCTCAGTTTTTTATACCTTTGCATTCTTCCTGGGTTTCTTTCTATAGATCTGCTTCAGTATAGTGTATTTTTAATCACACTGGAAGTATTTTAGTGACCTTTTTCTTTTTACCCCTTCCACTTTTCTTTGCATACTCAACCTACAAGCAAGAGATGTCAATTCATGTTGAATCATAACCTCTGGTTGCAGCTCCTTTGTGTGTGTGTGTGTGAGAGAGAGAGAGAGAGCGTGTGCAAGAGAATGTGTGTGTGCATGTGTGTGTTTAAATGGAGTTTTTTTTACTTCCAACCCAGTATAATGTATTTTGTCTCTGCAGATGGTGGTGTGGTACCTTTTTCAGATTGTTTCAGCAGTGAGCTGCATCCATAAAGCTGGGATCCTGCATAGGTAATGACGGAATAAAATTTATGGGACAGATTCCTCCTTCCCAGTCCATTCCCTACTCTGTACGCCTCCCACCATCACTTTCATTTTCTTCCCTAAACAGTCAGGGTTTTCCGTTCATGTAAGTAGAATGAGAGAGAGTGAGGACAGAGGGTGTTATATTCACCATCTGAAGTTAAGTCACGTTTGTGACCTACGAAGAATCTTCTTGGTACATAAGTACCAGGCATTTCTCTTTTTTCTTTTCTTTTGTTGGTACCAGGAATCGAACTCAGGACCTTGTGCTTGCCAGGCACATTCTGTGCTGCTGAGCTGTTTCCCCAGCCCAGGCGTTTCTTTTAGCAGTGTCTTAGATGATAGTTGGTTAACACATCAGTGAAGTGCACACGGTGCTGCGAGAAGTAGTACTAGTTTGCCTAGGATTCATAGTAAATGTTTTCTTTGAGCAATAATAATAGTTGTCAATTATTATAATTCTATAATTTGTTTTTAATTTAAATAAAAGCATATGCATTTTGTATAGTTAATTGTACAATTTTACCAAACCTTTGTTTGATAAAAATGGTGAGGGAGATATTTCCATTCATTTCAAGCTATACAAGAGAACCATTATAAGAACATGTCCACATCATTGTCTTCTGCTTAAAATAATCATTAAGCTGCACTTTGTGATACGTGTCTATAATCCCAGCACTCAGAAGGCTGAGACAGGAGGGTCACTGTGAATTTGAGGCCAGCCTGAATTATGTAGTGAGAACCTGTCTGGAAAAAAAAAAGTCATTGATCATTCCCAGCAATTATTTGTAATACACTAATTTCTTTTTGTGTTGTTGGTTCATTCAGTTAACATTTATTTCTTAGTAGCTATTGGATAACTACTGTTGCATGTTGTTACTTTCTTTTTTAAAAGTAACAAAGTATATTGTTCTGGTTTATTCCCATCATTCAAAAAAGAAAGATTATAAACAGGCATAGATTATTTTATTTTACCAATGGTCAATTAATCATTTTTTAAAACTTAAAAAAACAAACCCAAAACAGGGTCAGGGTCTCACTATGTAGCCCAATCTGGCCTTGAACTCACAATGATCTTCCTGCCTCAGATTCCTGAGTGCTGGGATTAAGTTCATGTACCACCATGCTCAGCTTCCAATTCATTTTAAGAAAAATAGCCAGTGACTTTATTTAGATGGTGTAATATAGCCTTGGAGGATTTTTTGTTGTTTTTTTTTGTTTTTTGTTGTACTGGGGATTGAACTTAGGACCTTATGCATGCTAGGCAAGCACTCTACATCCCCACTACACTGAGCTACATTCTCCAGCTGCAGCCTTGTTGTTGCGAGATATGCAACTACTTCTCCGGCCTTAACAGAATATTTGTAAACAGACTCTCAAAAAACAAGCCAGGTGTTAAATTGCCTTGTTATCATAATGCAAGGCAGAAGTGATAGTGGAAACAGCAGTATGTTTTATAGGAAAGAGGGTTGTCTGCCCCATGGTTTTTCTCATCAGACTCTCTTAGCTTTGCCTAGGAGTGGCAGCGCTGTGGGAGCCCTAGAGCGTGGAGTTAACTTTCTGCCTTTACTCCTTAAGTACCCTCTTCAGTGTTAAAATGTGTGTAAAAGGGATGACCACTCTATGTGACCTTTGGGACCCCATAACAGAATCTGAGCAGTGCTAATACACTCATTTTTATTCTGTACTAATCCTGGTTAGGGTGGGGGGTAAGATAAACCAATGAGCTAAGTGGACTAAATATGCAACATCTTTTTTTCAGAGATATAAAGACATTAAATATTTTTCTGACCAAGGCAAACCTGATAAAACTTGGAGATTATGGTCTCGCAAAAAAACTTAATTCTGAGTATTCTATGGCTGAGACGGTGAGTATAGGTTGCCCTTAATTTTTTCTTTCCCAGTACTGTGAAATATAACTATACCCCCTAAATTCTGCATGCTTTTCTCAAAATTCTTACAAGTTCCCCTTACTGATAATGTAGATCATCTTTTTTCCTGAGTTCTACTGTAGGCTTTTACAGGATTAGATGTTCTTTTGATACAGCTCTGATCTCAGCCTTGTCCAACACTGACTCAGATTTTTCTAGCCAAGCGCAGTGGCACATGCCTGTTATCCCAGCACTCAGAAGGCTGAGGCAGAGAACTACATAGTGAGACCCTGTCTCAAAACAAAAAACAAAAACCAAAAACAACAAAAACAGACTTTTCTAAAAGCAAAAATAGTTTACCTGTTTTTCCCAATCTAAGATTCCATCTAATGTTTGAACCCAAAGTACTGAGCATTTCTTTTGTATTTCCTTTAGTTTTATTTGTTGTTTGTTGATTTGAAACAGGGTCTTGCTATGTATTTCAGGCTGGCTTTGAACTCACTATGTAGTCCAGGTTGGCCTCTAGCTCACTTCTGACCTCTTGCCTCAGCCTTCTGAATGCGTGAAATACAGGTGTGCACCACCACACCCGCTTATTTGGGTTTCATTTAAATGCTGCTTCTGGTTCAGAGAGAAGGCCTATATTCTAAGCGTAGGCCAGAGAACAAGTCTGTTCTTTAATGTTATACACAGGCTGAACTAGAAGGCTCTGTTCTTAGTTGATTTTGAGAAAGGCCACTGGTTAAAAAGTAGATACAAACTGATCTTTAGGACAGTGATTGTTATCATTTTAGGAATTATGAAATTCAGTTATTACTCTTCTTACTTCATAATGCTGTGCCCTTGAAAGAACTTGGAAATGGAGGTTAACAAAATTGATTTTGTCCTGGTTTTTTGTTTGTTTAGTTGGTTGGCTTTTCTGTCTTTTGAGACAGAGTCTTGCTATGCAGTTCAGGCTGGCCCTGAGCTCACTTTGTAGCCCAGGCTGGTCTCAGACTTGCAACGATCTTCCTGCCTCAGCTTCTCGCGTGCTGGGATTAGAGGTGTGCATCACCACGCCTGGCGTGGCCTGTTATTTTTTGATAATGTCAAGATCTGCCTGCGAGTGATGTAGACATCAGTGTTAAGAGTCCGTTTTCAAGACTCAGTGGCTAAACAGCTAAGGAAGCACTTACCTCCTTACATGGATTTTTCCCCTTGGCGGTAATCTTGATAAAATCGAGACTTGATTTTTTTCTAGCCAATTAAATGCAATGAAGGAATGATATGAAAACTTAAAAATGCCATACAGAGTATCTGAAAACTTCTTTGTTTTGCTGATTAAAGAGACTAATTAGTAGGTCTTAGGGGAACTCCTGGGGCATCCATTGTCTCAAATCTTGGGGGTGATATTACTTCTATATAGAACATTTTTATTTCTAAATCTATTTTTTAATTTATTTTATTTTATTTTATTTTACTTTTATTTATTTAATTTTTTTGAGACAGGTTCTCACTGTGTAGTTCAAGCTGGCCTTGAGTTCACTATGTAGCTCAGACTGGCCTCAAACTCTTGGTGATCCTCCTGCCTCAACCTCCTGCCTCAGCCTCCTGAGTGCTAGAATTACAGGCATGCACCACCATGCCCAGCTTCCAAACCTATTTTTAAGTCAGAAAGTATTTTCAAATTCTAAAGAAATTCAGTAGCCATGTTAGTGCACAAATGTCCAGTTTGGCCATTCTTTGAAGTTTCATTACTGTGCATTTCAGTTGGAACTTTTAACTCCTTCATTTAGTTACTATCTCTGCTCCAGTAGGGTTTGGCTCTTTCCCATTGGTGAACTTTTACTAAGTAGGTCTCTATTTGTATGAAATCTTTAGTGGACCTGGAATGCCCACAGCCTGTGTAAACCAGAAATCACAGAGCTGTTGGGCCTCGAACCTAGCCACAATGCCTTTACTGCAGATTGTCCTTTTACAATTGGCCCACAAGACTTGATATGAATAAAATTTCTCTCCAATAGCATTGTCTCACAAAAACCATTTTGAGATCTGCTGATGAATGTTTTCTGATTGTTATCTCTACTTCCTGAGAAACTTGACTTAGCTGTTGAAATGTTGATATAGTTACCTCAGAAGAGAAGTTATTCTTTGATTGTTTTCTTTGTTGTTCAGCTTGTGGGAACCCCATATTACATGTCTCCGGAGCTCTGCCAAGGAGTAAAATACAATTTCAAGTCCGATATCTGGGCAGTAGGCTGTGTCATTTTTGAACTGCTTACGCTAAAGAGAACATTTGATGCTACCGTAAGTTGTTGTGCTGCCCGCACACTGTCTTCTAAATGGTATGAGCTGGTGAAGTGAGTCAACTGCATTTATCCCTCACCTTCTTGTTTCTTGAACAGAAATCAGCTGTAGTCAGAAATAACCTATAGTTCGGCACTGAATTAGCAGTGTATCATTAAAATGTTATAGACCAGATTTATCTCTAAGTGGAATTCCCCATTGAAATGACCATAATTAAGCAATTTGAGCACTGTATTTTAATTTGTTGACTGTAATTTCAAAACTGGCTGTAGGGTCAACTGCAATGTTGTAGTTTTGAAAAAGCATTTCATTTCTCTCTGGGTTTTTTTGGTACCAGGAATCGAACTGACAACCTTGCACTTGCCAGGCAGGCGTTGTACCACTGAGCTATATCCCTGGCCCAGCCATTTCATTTCTTACGCTTCAGCCACATCTTTTTCCTTTTTTAAGCTGCGGCAGATTATGTAATACCCATTAAATTGTTTTGATCTTTTTTAAGTGGAAACATCAGTCATGCTGTCTTATTAAAGATTATTGCCGGGCGTGGTGGCGTACGCCTGTAATCCCAGCACTCGGGAGGCTGAGGCAGGAGGATCGTTGTGAGTTCAAGGCCAGCCTGGGCTATAAAGTGAACTCGAGGCCAGCCTGAACCGCATAGTGAGACCCTGTCTCAAAAAGACTAAAAAAAAAAAAAAGATGGTTACTGTTCTATGGACAAACAAATCCCTTTAGTTTCTCTCTTTCTCCCTTTTCTTTCTTTTCTTTATTTCTCTCTTTCTTGTTTATTTATGTAAAGTCACTGATTTAAAGCATTGCTTCTCAAACTTGTGTGTGTGTGCTTGTACACAATTGCATAGGCAACTTGTGAAAATGTAGATTGTTTCAGAGGTGGGGTAGGGCAGTGCCAGGCCAATAATCTCATTTCTAACAGGCTCCCAGACATGGTGGTACTGCTGCCTCAAGGGCCACAGTTTGAGTAGCTCGGGGGACCCATGTCCACTCTCCCTCGGCGAGTGTGAGAATTTATGAATATCATTTCATTGATCCTCTATTACATTACCTGTAACATCAAAAAAATTTATATCTCCCAAACAATATGTATCCCTCTCACAGAGATGTTCTGATATTGTATACAAAAGAATGGAAATGTAAGATATTGCAAACTCATTGGTCACTTACTTTTTTTATTCTGAATTTTGTTCTGGTTGGTATATCATCTAATTATCCTAAATAATTTAGCAGATGAAAAATGACTGTTGGAGGGGGCTGGGGATTTAGCTCAGCAGCACAGCGCCTGCCTGGGAAGCACAAGGTAGTGAGTTCAATTCCCGGTACCAGGAAAAAAAAAAAAAGAGAAATGACTGTTGGAATCAGATAGACTTTTGCTGGAATAATGGCTTGACTGTTACTGTATGTACGATTTTGAGCAAGTTATTTTACATCTCCAAGCCCCCATTTTCTTCCGTACAAAGTAATAATGATAACATTTTTGTATTATACTGATGAGAAAGATCATATGTATAATATGCCTATTCAGTTCATAGTGGTTTCTTAATAAGGTGATTGTGGTAGTAGTATTATAATATTATCATTCCATTATTATAAGAGGCCTTGTCTGTTGTATTATTTACTGCGTTGCCTGTTTAGCACTTATTAAGATAATACGTTGGAGGCAAATTAATTAGCAAGGGAGTTACTTGGAGCCAAGAAGCCTAGCTAATCATGCTTTCCTTTTACTTAGATTCTTTTGAAGATCAGATTATAACGTATTCTGAGCAAGCTGCCATTGCTCACACAGTGGTAATGGTCTCCATGCGGGCCAGTGGGCCTCATGCCATCCGATAACGGCAGGGCCTCCCCAGCGATTCTTGTGATGTGTACTAGTACTAGTAACGCTAACCCAGACCCAGTGCAGAACTGTTGCTAGCTGTTTGAGTAAACAACGTCAGACATCTCTGAGCTCCCGTGGTAGGTTATAATGTCATCTTCATAAAGCCAGAAACAGTGCAGTCACCATTTTCTCGTAGAATCCACTCAACTTGTGTGTGAAGATCGTGCAAGGAATCCGGGCCATGGAAGTTGATTCTAGCCAGTACTCTTTGGAACTGATCCAGATGGTCCACGAGTGCCTTGACCAGGTAGGTATGGCCGTATTGATTTCAGTTTCATGTTTTTCCCTTTCATCCTCATTTAGGATATGACATAGATACAAACCACACAAAATCATACCTACTTCCCTGGGGTAGAATGTTCTTTAGGCTTTATCTAGAATAAGCATTGGCAATTTATGGTAGTTGTGTGCTTCAGCAAACAAATTCTTTATTCCATTTCATAAATACTTGTGAAATGATTTTGCCGTCTAAATTGGGTTCTTTTTTATGGTTAAGATTAATTTCTATAAATTGATTTTATAAAGCTGCAGTCAGAGTTAAAGTTCCTAGAGTGCAAAATATATGTAGTCCTAATATCTGACAGCTCTCTTACCGTGTATAGATTCTAATATTATTCAAAGTATGGTCCAAGGACCACTGGGATCAGAATCACTAAGGAGTAGGGGAGTTTCTTAAGTGAAAAAAGAAGATTCCTGGGCTGTAACCAAGAAGAAGAGAATCTGTGGATATAGCCCAGAAGCCTTTGCTTGTAATAAGCACTCCAGGTGATTGTTCTGTGCTCTCTGCATTGATGTGTGAGAGTGACTGTCCTCCTCCTTGTACAGTATTGAAGATAGTGAAAGAGTGTAGGCATTAAACATGGAAATAGGACATACAGAATTACATTTTTGAAACAAAAGGATAATACACAGTGGTCTTCGACCAATTAAACTACATCTTTCTAAGAGGAAGTAAAATTCTTTATTAGAGCCTGTATTGCTCATTTCCTTTAGGTGAAAACTAACCTATTTTTACTTTTTAGAATCCTGAGCAGAGACCCACTGCAGATGAACTTTTGGATCGCCCCCTTCTCCGGAAACGCAGGAGGTAAAGTACAGATGTCACTTCATGGTCTTTCTAGAGATGGTTGACTGTTAGAGGCCTAAGGATATGACAAGAAAGAGTAGTGTATGCCGAGGACAGGCCGGGCGTTGTGGCGCACACCTGTAATCTCAGCGCTCAGGAGGCTGAGGCAGGGGCATCTTCGCAAGCTCAAGGCCAGTGTGGACTACATAGTGAGGCTCTGTAAAAGGATGATGTTTTCTCCCAGCGTCTCCACATTTATTGCTTCAGTGGAGGTCTTTCACCTTCTTAACTATCATCTTTTACCTCTTTAACTAAATTTATACTGATGAGACCAAAGATCCCTTCACATCCCCAGATCTGTGGGGTTTTTATTCTGGACGTGGAACACTGATACCTAGATTTGTATCTAAGTTCTGTTTTCTTTGTCAAGTTGTTGAGCATCTTTGTTTCTTTGTTTTCTTCCCTATGAAGTAAGATACAGTGAGGATTAAAGAAGTAATGCATGTAAAGTACTCAGCCCAGGTCCTGGCAGAAAGTGCCCACCAATTACTAGATAGTAGTATGAATTAAGACTGTGCATTTGCTTCTGAGTATGTTTGGTTTATTTGTTGTTTGGGTTGTGCGTGTGCGTGTGCGTGTGTGTGTGTGTGTGTGTGTGTGTGTGTGTGGCATTTTGGAGACAGAGTCTCACTGTGTGTTCCAGGCTGACCTTGAACTCACTGTGTAGCCCAGGCTAGCCTCAAACTCATGGTCATCCTCCTGTTTCAGCCTCCCAAGTGCTGGAATTACAGGCAGGCGCCACCCCACCGGGCTTTGAGTATGTTGAGATGGGGGGTTGGAGTTGGAAAAGTCCTCTTCAGATACCTTTTGCCCATTTCTTGAGATTAAACTTTATTGACTCCGGAGAAGTTATTTCCTAAGGTTTATTGTGTGTCAGAGGTCTGTCTGTGTAGAGGCAGGAAGGCTGTCCTTCCTGTGGAAGGCTTCACACCTCAACCCAGAGGAGAATAAAGGAGAGATACCTTCCTATAAGTTTTCTAGTCTGTATTTCATCTAGTTATATTATTTTTGCCTAACTATCTTTGTTCCTCCTCTACCAGTACTTCTTTTTTGTTTTGTTCTGTTTTGTTTTGGGGTTTTTTTTGTGTGTGTTTTTTGAGACAGGGTCTTGCTGTGTAGTTCAGGCCAGCCTTGAACTCACTGTGTCACCCAGGCTGGCCTAGAACTCACGGTGATGGTCCCGCCCAGCCACTGGAGCACTGAGATAGCAGGTGTGCGCCACCATGCCCAGCCCTTTGCTTTTACACCCCTCAACTGTTCAAACATTTACTGTGCTCTTTCATGTCTTGTAGTAGCGTGTTTGTGTGTGTTTATTGGAGGTTGGACACAGCTCCTTGTTGATGCTAGGCAAGCAGTTCACCTCTGAGCTATATTTCCAACCCCTTAGAAATTTTAGTTAAAAACACGAACTCTGCTAAGTTGCCCAGGTTGGCCTAGAATTTGCAGTCCTGCTGCCTCAGCCTCCTGAGTAATTGGGAAGTTCTTGTCCTTAAATACATTACGTACATAATTAATCCTATAATCTTTACTCTTTCGTCAACATATCTTTATTTTGTTGTGCCATTTAATTAACCTTTTATTATTTTTTTGAATATATTTTTATTTTTATTTGATAAGAGTAATAATGTACATATTTATGGGATACTATGTGATAGCTCAGTTCATGTGTGTAATGTGTAGTGATCAGATCAGGGTAATCGGAAAATGGCATATCTGTCTCCTCAGACTTTCATCACTCTTTGTGTTGGAAACTTTTAAATTCCTCTCCTCTGTTTATTTTCTGTGTAAACCGTAGTTATCCTACTGTGCTATAGAACACTAGAAGTTACTCTTCCTGTCCAACTGCACCCTGTACCCATTAACTCTCCTCTCTGTCCCTCCTTCTCCCATAGCCTTTCCAGGCTCTGATAATCACTGTTCTGGTCTCTACTTCTTTGAGATCTTTATGGCATTCATAGATAAGGGAGAACAGGCAATATTTGTTTTCCTGTATTTGATTTAATTTCACTGTTTTGGAGGCAGTGGGCATTTTTGGTTTTTTGAGACAGGGTCTTGCCATCCCAGGCAGGTCTTGGTAGTTCAGGCTGGCCTTAAACTCATTATGTGGTGCAGGCTGGCCTCAAACTCACAGTGTTCCTCCTGCCTCAGCCTCCTGACTTAATTTCACTTAACGTGATGTCCTTCATTACCATTTATAGTGCTGCAGATGACAGCCTTTTTTTTTTTTTTTTTTTTTTTTTTGATGGCTGGATTATATTCTGTGGTGTTTATATTCTGCATTTTTTAAATCCATTCATCCTTCAGTGGACATCTAGATTGATTCTATACCTTGACTGTTCTCCGTAGCTACAATAAATATTCAAGTGCAGATCTGTTTGACATCCTGAATTGGATTCCTTTGTATGTGTCCCACAGAAGAATATTGCTGGAGGGGGCTGGGGATTTAGCTCAGCGGCACAGCGCCTGCCTGGCAAACGCAAGGTTGTGAGTTTGATTCCCGGTACCAGAAAAAAAACAAAAAAAAAATTTTAAAAAAAAGAATATTGCTAGATCAAATGGTAGTTCTACTTTTAGTTTTTTGAGAAAGCTCCATACTCTTTTTCATGATGGTTGGATTAATTTACATTCCTACTAGAAGTACATGGGGATATTTTCCTCCGTATCCTTGCAGCTTTTGTTTTTGGTCTTTTTGAGACAGGGTCTCACTATGCAGCTCAGGCTGGCCTTGAGCTCACTTTTTAGCTCAGGCTGGTCTTGAACTTGCAACAGTCCTCCTGCCTCAGCCTCCCGAGTGCTGGGATTACAAGCTTGTACCACCACGCCCAGCTTGTTCATCTCTTTGAAGCCAAAGAGATTCTTCTATACCCGTGTAATCTTTTTTTTTTTTTTTTTTTTTTTTTGGTGTTTTGGGGGGTCTTTTTGGTACCAGGAATTGAACTCAGGACCTTCCCAAGCAAGGCACTGTGCTGCCAGCCCTTCTTGTTTTTCATAACAGCTGTTCTAACTTGGGGAGATGATACCTCATTGTGATTTTGGTTTGCATTTCCTCATGGTTAACATTTTTTCTTAAACTTGTTGGCCATTTGTATATCCTCTTTAGAGATCTGTCCATTCAGATCGTTCACCCATTTTTTAAAATCAGGTTCTCACTCTTGAGTTGTTTGAGCTTATATTTCGTAGAAATCACTTCCTTATCAGATGAGTAGTTTGCCAGTACTTTTTTCCTGTTCTATAGGTTGTCTCTTCACTCTGTTGATTCTTTTGCTGTGGAGAAGCTTTTTAATATGATATAATGCCATTTGCTTTTTGCTGCTTCTGCTTTTTGAGTCATATCCAAAAAATCTTTGCATAGGCCAATGTCCTGCAGTGTTTCCCCTATATGTTTCTTCTAATAATTCCGTAGTTCTGAATCTTACACAGTGTTAAAGACTTTAGTGGTTTCCACTTGGTTTCTAGCCAGTGTTTCATACCTACAGTTATGTGTGGTACTCTAGATAGAGCACTGTGAGTTTCCACTTATGTTCTGTGTTTATTAAGGCAATATCTCCCATTGGTGCTGGTTGAACATACTTAAAATTCTTACCTAGCTTATTTCCAAATAATGTAATCACTGTTTTAATCCCTTATTGAAATATTCCAATAGATTGGTTTTATTTTGTTTCATAAGGATACTAAAGATTGGATCCAGGGAGTGCTGAGCTCTATATCTCCTTTCACTTCGTTTGTTTATTTGTTTGTTTGTTTGAGACAAGCTCTCACAATGTAGTTTGGGCTGAATTTTTTTATTTTTTTACCAAAATAATTATAGATTTATATGCCATACTTTGTTGGAATTTGGACTTTAATGGAAGAGCATACTTTAGAAATTTTAAACAGAGAAAATAGCATAAACAAAAGTACACAGCCGGGCATGGTGGTTCACGCCTGTAATCCCAGCACTCAGGAGGCTGAGGCAGGAGGATCATTGCGAGTTTAAGGCCAGCCTGGGCTATAAAGTGAGCTCAAGGCCAGTCTGAACTGCATAGCGAGAACCTGTCTCCAAAAAAAAAAAAGCACACATACAAGTGGTTTTGTGGAAAATATTCAGGAAACACAAAATCCTATTTGATTAGATTAGTAATTTTAGACCTGGGGCTCTCAATGCAAAATCTTGGGATTCAAAAATTACTGATGCCAGAGTTGAGTGTGGTGGCACAGTCTTGTAATCCCACACTTGGGAGGTAGAGGCAGGAGGAGTTAGTTCAAGGCCAGACTGACCTACATGAGACCCTTTCTCAAAATAAAAAAAATCACTGATTCCTGAGCACTACCCTAGTAGTTCTATAATAGATTCATGCAGAATGGTGTATGTACTGCTGAAACGAGCACGATTTAGGCAGCATGGAAACTCTGAGCCAGAACATGCAGTGTTCGTAAAGGGAAGGAAAGCTGAGAAGATGATAGAGAATCTTGCATGTTAAACTTAATACAAAAGATAGTACAGAAGTATTAGGTGTTTGAGAGAGGACAGTTCTTGTGATGAGAAGCATGCCTAAGGAAGAATCATGTAGTGGTGCTAGGATCATGTTAGGACAGGCCTGATGAACACGGGCTAGGACCATAGTAAGTGAGGGTGAGGCTCCCGGAGTAGCCTCATGAGACATGAAGCTGCCTAGAACTGAGGTGGAGAGACTGGACACAAGCGCTGAGTATAACAGACGCGGTATAGGTAGAATCTCTAGAATTGAGTATTGCAGGAAGGGAGATAGAAGAGTCAGAGATGACTGAGGTTGACTGGGCGAATGGGTGAAGTGTGTTGACAGTTACAGAAATAGGGGAGTCAGAAAGAAAAGCTGATCTGGGGAAAAGCTAACAAGGCCAGGCTTGGAGATGTTGCGTTTGGGGAGTCAGTGGGCAGGCTAGAAGGAGATGCCCATCGTGTGCATCAGAGGTCCTCAGGAAGCTCTGTTCCAGCCTAGATTGTTTCTCGGAGATAGAAAGCAAAGGACCTCAAACTCCTGACTCTCTAGTATTTAATGAGTCATCTGATGTCAGGCATGTATAACCATTTGAGTTGTTATCAAAGTACTTTCCTAAAAGTATTGTCATATTGAAGGATGCATATGGTTAGTAAGAGAATTAAATCTGTAGCTTCTATTAGAGACACTGTTGTGACATAGGAACATGTGATTTCATTCATGTATCTTTTCTTTTGCCAGAGAGATGGAGGAAAAAGTCACTCTGCTTAATGCACCTACAAAGAGACCAAGGTAATGCTCACGAGATTCTTGAAAACGAGTACTGTGTGTCCTGAGTTCCCAAAGAGCTCTTATTTGTGTCTGTATAGCCAACATCTGCCTAAATGCCAGATAATCATTTCTGAGAACATGAACGCTGTAATTTCACCCCCACATATTAAGTGCGTATCATTATCATGATGAATGTTGAAAAGTGTAGGTGTTATGGATCAGACTGGAATCTGGGCTGGCTGAGCTGTGATGAAGCCCTGAGGCTTTGCAAAGCCTGCTATGAGAAAGGTTTGAAAGAACGTATTTTCTCAGACCATAATTGGCAGTTCTGAGGGGACAGACTGGAAGTAGTCTTCCTTGATATTATTTTTATGTTCAGTGTGCCTTTGTTCTGGGGGTTGCTGGCAGGTCAAGCACCGTGACTGAAGCACCCATTGCTGTGGTAACCTCACGAACCAGTGAAGTCTATGTTTGGGGTGGTGGGAAATCCACCCCCCAGAAACTGGATGTCATCAAGAGTGGCTGTAGTGCTCGGCAGGTGTGCGCAGGGAATACCCACTTCGCTGTGGTCACAGTGGAGAAGGAACTATACACTTGGGTGGTAAGTGAGAGCTAAGGACTTTTTTGCGGGGGGATCTTTTTTGAGAGAGGATCTTGCTATGTAGTTTAGGCTGTCCTTGAGCTCACTTTGTAGCCCAGGCTGGTCTCAAACTCACAACAATCCTCCTGCCTCAGCCTCCCGAGTGCTAGGATTACAGGTGTGCACCACCATGCCTGGCCGAAAGGTAAGGACTTTGGAACAGTGCCATAAGCCTGATTTCTTACTTGGCCCAGGGTGTCCCAGCATTTGGCTAGTTGAACACATACTGCATGACCGCAGCATGGAGTCATAGAACATAGACTCTTGTGAGAGCAGAGATTTTGTCTGTTTAGGTCAGTGACATATCCCCCTGTGCCTGCTACATACTAGGACATGTGTAAAAGTGCTCTAAATGAATGAGAGAGGCAGAGAGAATTAAAAGAGCTGTAGCAGAGACAGGGCTTTTCCATTTACAGCTGGATGATTTCAGACAAGTCACTTATTCTGTGCTATTATTGTGAAGTTCTGAGCAGCTCGTATCTGAAGTAGCTTTGTAACAAGTGAAGCACTGCCTGGTGTGAGGAACGCTCTGAGCCCTCGCCCGTGACTGAAGATAGCCAGCCAGAGGTTGCACAGCGTTTCCCTTCGTTGCTCTCTGTGTTCTGCCCTCTCACTTTTTTAAAACCCATTTTGTTTGTTGTCTGTTTCCTCATCGCCCACTCTCTCCTCACCTGCATTGCAGCTTCCGTCTCTGCCACCTGCCTGAAACAAGTCTTAATGAAACGACCTGTAAATTGCTAAAAAAAACCAGCTGATGTTTAGTCCTTAGCCAACTTAGTCTTTTCCTCCTGGAAATTTTGTTTTTACTTGGCTTCCATGATAGTGCATTCTTGTACCTTTCCCGTGCTTCTTTGGCTGTGCCTTCTCCAGCGCCTGGCAGGCTGCTTTCCCTTCACCTCACCTTGTCGCGGGCTCTTGCTGCCTCTTCCCAGGGGAGCTTACTGTCTCATGGCTTCAGATGTCTTCTCCATGAGGACAAGATTGTATTTGTCTTATTCACTGCGTTATCCCCAGTAAGTGAGATTGGATACTCAAGTACTGATTTATCAGAAGAATGATTTGGCCTCTGTTATACAAGGATGACTCACTGTGATATTGCCCGAAGTACTCCATATCAGTGCTTTAAACACCGTTTGTAGGAGGACTTACAGTTGAGTCATTAAACAGAAAGAATTACCCATCTGTGTAAAACTTGAAAAATCGTGAGGACTATTCTCAGAGTTGTATAGTAGCCTCTTTGATGTGGCCAGATTCTTTATAACTGTTCTGTGTTTCAGGGAAACTGATCAAAATTTATCAGACTTCTAGTACAGATACCAGATTTTCAAGATAAAACCTTTTCTACCTCCATTAAAAACAATCACATTAAACTGTATAGTGGATCTCTTCATTACCAGTCCATCTCCGTAATTGAAAATATAGTTCACCTTAAACTTGAAGAACAAACACAAATTGGGAATATATCCTTTTAAGGTCTGTTGGGCATGAATCTGGAATTTTTTTTTTTTTAATTTTTTTTTTTTTTTTTTTTTTTTTTTTTTGGTACTGGGAATCAAACTCAGGATCTTGTGCTTGCTAGGCAGGCACTGTACCACTGAGCTATATCTCCAGCCCCCTTAAAATTTTTATCTCAACGTGGGTTTTATGCTACCTACCATTACAGAAATTGCATAATTCCTTTACTCATTTTTTTCTTTCAATTTCCAGCTTTTTTTTTTTACTGTTTTTCTTACCAGCTTACATTAAAGATTAGCTTTAGCATGAAAAGCTGAAGCTCCAAAAGACTTCTCTATTTCACAGAACATGCAAGGGGGCACTAAGCTCCATGGTCAGCTGGGCCATGGAGACAAGGCTTCCTATCGACAGCCAAAGAACATGGAAAATTTGCAAGGCAAAGCTATCCACCAGGTGTTCTGTGGGGATGATTTCACAGTCTGTGTAACAGGTGAGCAATTAGCAGGAAGCATTTGAGTGCATTTGACCTGGGGTATTAAGCTTAATGCTGTACAGTTTTATTTGGGATTGTAATGTTATCATTCGACATCCCAAGTTTGCTATAGCATGAGGGTATGAGTGATAAGTAAGGAGAAGGCAGGTAGATAACAAGTCAGGATTAGGAGAGATGTGTGTACCCCCTGGAGGGAGGGGCTGGTGCAGGAGCAGGAAATAATTTCACTACCTCTTCACGCTGTGGATAACACAAACCCAGAATCAAGAGCTAAATTTAGGTTTGGCCTTCTTACTCACTTTATGATTCCTTGTACTTCCATTTTCATCTATAAAATGGAGAACGCTGCAATACTGTTTTAAGCCTTTCACATGATAGTACTACCACTTTTAATTTTTTGAATTTATGAGATGGAGTCTCACAGTATTGCACAGGCTGGCCTCAAACTCCTGATTCTCCAGCCTCAGCCTCCCAAGTAGCTGGGATTATAGGCATGCACTACCACTTCTGGCTTATAACTTTTTAAACTGCTTATTACGATAATATTACACATAGGCCCTTAGAGTACAAATAGCTATAGACTTAACAGTCTACCCTCTGATGTCATCATCGCATGTAAAATCATTGGCTAAAGTAGTCCCCATTCTAGTCCTGCTTGGCTTTCTGATGAGACAAAATAAGTCAGTCCTCTGAGGGGTTGTTTTTCTTCCTTTTGCAGATGAGGGTCAGCTGTATGCCTTTGGATCAGATTATTATGGTTGCATAGGGGTAGATAAGATTGCTGGCCCTGAAGTGCTAGAGCCCATGCAACTGAACTTCTTCCTCAGCAATCCAGTGGAGCAGGTCTCCTGTGGGGATAATCATGTGGTGGTCCTGACACGAAACAAGGAAGTCTATTCTTGGGGCTGTGGTGAATATGGTACGTGTAGCTTGTCTCTGTCCATCTCTTCCCAGGTGCACACACTGTGTGCACCTAGACACATGACACAGCCCTTGTTCAAGAAGCGTTAATGCAGTAAAAGAGAACCTAATAGAGCACTTTCTTTGGCAAAAGGTCATCATCATGATAACTTTCTTTATTGTGTGTGTTTTAGGACGACTGGGCTTGGATTCAGAAGAGGATTACTATGTACCACAAAGGGTAAAATCAAAAGCTGCTTTTTCCTAATGCCTAAGTCACACAGCCTCCAAAAATATATCCTCTTTCCCTGAATCCTCCTATCAAGGTGTTTATTTCTGAAATATCTCCTGTCTTGGAGACTGACAATCCAGGATTCTTGTGTTAGCACTGTTGTTGTGGTCTTGTCATCTGACTGAATCGTGGGAAGGTGAGACAGTGCATACAGCTGCTGTGGACACTGTGGAGTCACATCTTACCCAGGGATGAGAGCTAAAATCTCAGCTAGTGGGGAAGTCGCATATAGCTTGAGGAAGTGTCGGGAGGCGGTGTGCTGTCTCTTGACCCAACACAGCCATTTCCCGCCCCCCGCTTCTACAGCTGAACGCCAGCCGCAGCTGTTTCTGCTTGGGGACCTGTGCTGCGAAATGCAGTGTCCGTTACTCTCAGAGCCGCCGGAGCCAGCACTGTGAGGGACGCGCAGGAACAGGAGTGGAAGCGGCTGAGGGAAACCTGGTCTCTCCGTGCCCCCCGGGCTCAGGCTCCCCACTGGGTCCAGGGTGGCTGCAGTTGACTATACTGGCCACTGTTAGCAGTTTTTACTTAAACTTAAGAATGGGCCCCATCCTCTGGGAGTCACTGCTGTTGCTCTTCTAAAGTAGAAGGAACTGAGGCCCAAGGTTTCGGGTTCCCACACCTTAGCTCTAGAAAGACGTGGACACCTGGAAGTCCTAGTTACTCCCACAGTACTCAGCACCGTCTTAGGAAGTGACCTGACTGGACCCCTTGGTTTCTCCCGTCAAGGAGCCCTCGTCTCAGAGGACAAAGCCAGTGAGAGGTTGAAGCTTCTCTGCCAGTGTGTTCTGAGTGGTCTCCTTCCTCAGAATCTCCTTTGGAGTAGAGCCTATTGCTGGAACAAACTAACAGGGCTGTTTAGTTGACCTGAAACTGCTGTGCTCCCTTTCTACTATAACCTTGAGTTCCTGGTTGAAGTTACTAGACCCCACTGAGCTGGTTACTACTCTGAGAGGCTGAGGCAAGAGGATCCCAAGTTTAAAACCAGCCTGGGCAACTTAGTGACTTAGCAAGACTTGGTCTCAAAAAGGGATTGAGGATGCTGTCCAGTGCAGAGGCCTCTAGGTTCAGTCCTCAGAACCCAAACAAGCAAACAAAACGAGCGCCTAAGCTTTGGGGCAGATGTGAAGCAAGCAGAGCAGCTCCTGCTTCCCCTCGGTCATCCACCGCAGCCTGTCGCTTTGGGAGGGTGTGAGGTGGTTCTTTCGGTTTTTTCCTCATGTGAATTCCGTGTTTGTGGTTTGTCCTTCTGATTTATTTTTTCCTTACAGGTGGATGTCCCCAAGGCTTTGATTATTGTTGCAGTTCAGTGTGGCTCTGATGGGACCTTTCTGCTGACGCAGTCAGGCAAGGTGCTGGCCTGTGGACTCAATGAGTTCAACAAACTAGGTCTGAACCAGTGCATGTCGGGAATTATCAACCATGAAGTGAGTGCCCCATGGTTTCCTAACCACACCATCACAACTCTTCTAGCTTGGAATTTCTCTGGGATTATTGGTTAGTGACCATGGAATCTGACCTAAGACCTAAGTGACAGTCTCACAGATACTGTGCTCAGCAAAAGAAGCCAGCCATAAAAGAGTATATTACTATATGATTACAATTATATGACGTTCAAGAAGAGGAAAAAATAGCCAGGCGTGATGGTGCATTCCTGTAACCCCAGCACTCGGGAGGCTGAGGCAGGAGGATCACCATGAGTTTGAGGCCAGCCTGAACTGCCTATTGAGACCCTGTCTCAAAAAACAGAAAAAGAGGCAAAATTAACTTCTGTTGGCAGAAGTCAAAATAGTGGTCAATTACGGGAACATGGGTCCATATATTAGCAGAAAAGGTAAGAGGGATCCTCCAGTGATGGGAATGGTCTTTATCTGGATCCAGGTTATAGTTTTACAAGTATATGTACAGAAAAATGTGTCAAACTATATGATATTTTATAGTATGTTAGCTGTACCTCAATAAATAGATTACAAAGCATAAAATGTTGGCTGGGTGTGGTGGCACCCACCTATAGTCCCAGCACTCTGGGGGCTGAGAAGGAAGGGTCACAGTAAGTTTAACCCCAGCCTGGGAAACTTAACGACGAACTAAAACCCTGACTCAAGATAAAAAAATAGGAGAAGCGTTGGAAGTGTACCTTAGTGCAAAGGCCCTGGATTCAATCCCCCATGCCACCATAAATAAATACATACAGCCGGGCATGGTGGCACACGCCTGTAATCCTAGCACTCGAGAGGCTGAGGCAGGAGGATGGTTATGAGTCGAGGCCAGCCTGGGCTACAAAGTGAGTTTGAGGTCAGCCTGGACTACAAAGTGAGTTCAAGGCCAGCCTGAACTGAAAAGTGAAATCCTGTCTCAAAAGACCAAAATAAATAAATAATACATACATACATACATACATACATACATACATACAGGGCCAGGGATATAGCTCAGCAGCAGAGCGCCTGTCTGGCAAGTGTGATTGATTCCTGGTACCAATAAATACATACACACATACATACATAAAATAAAATGTTAGAATTCAAGTTTTATTTTATTTATTTATTTTTATTATTATTATTTTATTTTTGAAAGAGAAAGAAGAGCTGGGCGTGGTGGTACACGCCTGTAATCCCAGTACTTGGGAGGCTGAGGCAGGAGGATGGTTGCGAGTTCAAGGCCAGCCTGGGCTACAAAGTGAGCTCAAGGCCAGCCAACTGCATAGCAAGACCCTGTCTCAAAAAGACAAAAAAAAAAAAAGAGAAAGAAGAAAAATTAACATGAAAAAGAAACATTTCCATTAATCACCTCACTGGGGAGATTTTAGATTTATTGTTCCTGAATCATTGACGCCCTATAGGCATATTAAATGTGATTATCACTTTCTGCCCCTTCAAGAATATCATGAAGTTCATCACTGATAGTCTTATCTTTGTGTTAGTATAATGAGGTTTTGTCATTTCTAAAAAACCAGGTTAAAAGAAATTTCCTAACCTGATAAAAATGTAAGGTGGTGGTGGTGTGTTGTTCTTGTTCTTTTTTTTTTTTTTTTTTTTTGTCTTTTTGTCTTGCTATGCAGTTCAGGCTGGCCTTGAGCTCACTTGTAGCCCAGACAGGCCTGAAACTCGCAGTGATCCTCCTGCCTCAGCCTCCTGAGTGCTGAGATTATAGGCGTGCACCACCATGCCCGGCTTCTTGTTCTTGTTCTTGTTTATCTTCTTCTCCTTCTTCTTGTCCTGGAGAGTAAACCAAGTGCATGCACACTGAGCTATATACTCCGCTGTCTTTTATTTTTTAGTTTGAGACAAGGTCTCACTAAGTCTCCAAATTGCCCAGGTTGGACTTGACCTTTACAGTCCCCCTACCTCAGCCTCCCAGAGTGCTGGGCTTACATGCATGCACCACCATGCCCACCTAACAGTTAAAGTTTAATCCGTCTGGGAAGTAGTGATTCTTAGAATACAAACTCAGAGGAAGCCTGGAGAGTGTCTCTGTAGTTTGAAATGAATGTTCAGAACTACTACTGCTTGGTTTTGTGGTTTCTTAAAACATTGGGTTTGTTGAGAAATCTTAAACTTACAGAGAGGATTTTTTTATACTAATTCAAATGGAATGTGGCCTTTTAAAAGTTGGGAAACCCTACTCTGTCGGTGAGGGTTAGGCCGAAGTAAGCGCTCTGTAGGCAGAAGAGACTCATCAGGGCTTTCATTCTTTACTTTCTGCAGTGGAGTTTCATGTGTTACCTACATTCCACGTACAGGTAAACTTTGTGTTTAGAAAGCCCTGCCTCGTGGCAGATTCTCTAACTCCATGACTTTTTCTTCTTGCAGCCTCTGTAGAAAACTGCCCAGAGCCCTCTCATTAATAACGCCGTTTCTTTGAAGGCATCGTGACCCTTTTCCTGATTATCCCTTCGTTTTTTTACTTCATAAGACTGCTTTGCATTTTACTTGTTTCAGGCTTACCATGAAGTTCCCTACACAACCTCCTTCACCTTGGCCAAACAGTTGTCCTTTTATAAAATCTCTACCATTGCCCCAGGCAAGACTCACACAGCTGCTATTGACGGTAAGTTGATTTCTAACTGTGTTACTGCTCACATTACTGTCTGAGGAGCTCAGGCTCTTTTATTACATCAAATATTAACTTTTCTTAACAGTATATGCATTCTCCTGATCTCCCCCTAATATCCAGTATTATCTCTAATGAGTTAGGCATTCAAGCGCATGATTTTTGCTGATAATCAGTATAAGTGCATGATAAATATATTCCTTAAAGAGAACACCGTGCCTATACCACCTGACTTCTGATGTCTCTAGTTAGCACCAGCTATAAGTATTCAAAGTTAGGTACTACCCATTTCCCACTTTAAAAATGCAGTAGTAGAGAGAAAATACACTATTGAGTTGCTTACTGGTCCTACCTGGTCACAGTACCTAGATAGCAAAGGTGCAGGACCATGTAGCTAGCTTCACATTTGCATGTTGTGGCAAGCAGAAGCTGGTGCATGGAGTTCTGCATTGGCTGCACCTTTCCCGTTCCATGACCCACTTGCGCTTGCTTGTTTCATTTTTGCTTCTCTCTCAGAGCGAGGCCGTCTGCTGACGTTTGGCTGCAATAAGTGTGGGCAGCTGGGTGTTGGGAATTACAAGAAGCGCCTGGGAATCAACCTGTTGGGAGGACCCCTCGGCGGGAAGCAAGTGATCAGGGTCTCCTGCGGTGATGAGTTCACAATCGCTGCCACTGACGGTGAGTCTGTACACGTCAGTTCAAGCTTTCTAGACAGATAGCTATGTTGATATTCTAAGCTCCTCCTCCTTTAATTTGAACTTCAGCTTTCTGGTAAAATGTTTCCTGGACTATTAAGTAAGTCTGTTGGTATCTTGCCCAGTACCATGTTGGTTTCAGTAAATGTGGCTAAAGAGGATAATAGAGGCAAGTCCTTTTTTTTGGTACTGGAAATCGAACTCAGGACCTTGCACCTTGCCAGACAGGCACTGTGCTGGTGAGCTATAGTCCTGGCCCAATACAGGTAGATCTTTCAGGTGCTGTGATAGAAGCCTCCACCTTCTCCCAGAGCTCAATCCTGTCCAAAGTGAGGGGACTCATTTCCTTAAATCTCTCCTGTACCCTGACAGCTTTATATCACCACCTCAACCTCCAGATGTTTGCTCAACAGCTCTTCAACCTTCATGTGTAAAGATAGAATTGCCGGGGCTGGGGATATAGCTCAGCGGCATAGAGCCTGCCTGGCAAGCGCAAGGTCATGAGTTCTGTTCCCCACACCAAAAAAAAAAGGTAGAATGGCCATATAGCCTAGTTATCCCGTGTGAGTCCTGACATGTATCTGTTGTCCTAGCATAATCATTAATAGCACCCCACTTTCATTTAGAAAAAAAATGACCTGCTTTGGATAAGAATCAAAATTCTGGATTTATCATCTCGGACAAACTTAGTATATTCTGATATTCTGCCTAGACCTGTTCCTCTGCCGCTTCCTATCTCAGTAAATGGTCCATCGTACACCTTGCATTCAGCACATGCAGTGGATTCTCTCCAGAATATATGCAGCTTCTGGCTCATATCACTGCCGTAGCTGGCCTCCCTGCTTCCACCCTTTCTCACATGCAGTTGGCTCTGCTCACCATAACCTCAGGGATCCTTTTATGCCCCTCTTGCTGAGAACATGTAATGTTTTTCTACACCAGTCAGGAAGAACCAAAGTTATCACAATGACTGCGTGGCCCCACATGCCTAAGACTCCGCCATCTCCCGTTCTCTTGTATAACCACCCCCAAGCCCTTACTTTCTCCATCTGCTGGGGCCTCCTTGCTCCCTGTCTGTGTTACTGGCATTACCTGTGTGACCTTGCTGTTCCCTCTGCCTTTCCCTCACTTCTGTCAGATCTCTGCTCAAGTTCAAAAACTACTTTTCTGATCACTCTCAAAAGTAATGAAATTCTATTCTACTATTATTCATCTTGCTTGTTTTTCATCACCACTCATCTTCTTCACAGCATTTATTACTACCTGCAGTGTTACTGTCTGTCCTACAGAATGATTACACAGGAGCCAAAACTTTATTCTCTTCATTGCTCAGTCAACTTGAACAATGCTTGAGATGAAATACCAAGTAATTCTTTTTTCTTTTTGAGACAGGTTCTCACTGTGCAGTTCAGGCTGGCCTTGAGCTCACTGTGTAGCCCAGGCTGGCCTGAAACTCGCAGTGATCCTCCCGCCTCAGCCTCCCGAGTGCTGGGATTACAGGTGTGCACTACCATGAATAAATGTTTGAATGGATGGCCACTGAGAAGTTATTAAATGATTAAAGGAATGAGTGGCTGTGTATCAGAACAGTGATCATTTTTACCTAGGTGGGATCAGAAGGAATAAACAGCTTCCCTAAAAAAATAAGTAAACACTTCCCTAATTTAGTACACAGTGGGACATCTTTCTAGCTTGAGAGCATCACAATGAGAAACCTAGAGTAGGGAAGACAGTCTTCTGTGAAACGATCTGCTATTTCATTTTTTTTCCAGACAACCACATTTTTGCCTGGGGCAATGGTGGAAATGGGCGCCTGGCAATGACCCCCACTGAGAGACCACATGGCTCTGATATCTGCACCTCGTGGCCTCGGCCTATTTTTGGATCTCTGCATCATGTGCCGGACCTGTCTTGCCGCGGCTGGCACACCATCCTCATCGTTGGTAAGCGGTTCGTATGTGTGGAGTTGAGGTACAGGATTGACCCACTCCTAAGGTGCTGAGGGACTGATGGCCACATTCTTACAAGTGTCCTGAAGGAGACATAATTTGTGGACTTCTTGTAATGCTCAGGGACGCTAGCCCTCGGGGTAGGAACAGGACATGGTTATGTCCCAAGCTTTGTCATTTGCCATCTCTTGGCCATTTTTTAATGTAACTGTGGACTCTGCCACCCTCATGGAATTTGTTACTTCAACTTACCTACTAATGAATTTTTTTACCTGTGTTCATACTTTCTTAAAAAACATTTAGTATGTCTTTAAAAAGGAACTTTAAGTCATGAATGCTTTGTGCATAAATAGCACTTTGAACTAAATTTTAAAGGTCTCTGTAAGGGTTTGCAAATTCATTAGATCTTGGTTGCACATCAGAATCCCTTGGAGGCTTTTACAAACCCTACTCCTGACCTTATCCCTGACCATCTGACCCAGACCGGGGTGGGACCTAGGCACTGCACTGTTACTGTGTAAAGAAAGCTTCCCAGGTGATTTCAGTGAGCAGCATAGGTGGAGAATTGCCACTTTAGATAGGGTAGCTAGTGTGTTTGGTTTTGGTGTTTTGTTTTGTTTTGTTTTTGGTACCAAGAATGGAACTTACGACCTCGTGCTTGCCAGGCGGGTGCTTGTGCCACTGAGCTATATCCCCGGCCCTGGTGTTTGGTTTATAAACAGTAAGTAAGCATAAAGTTATCTGGAGTCAGGTATTATTTCCTGTATTATATCACTCTCCAAGGCTCCTCTTACTTTCCTATGTCTGTATACAATGTTTACCTATTCACTATTTTTCCACTGAGAAAGTATTGAATTCTAAGACCATCCGTTCTAATAGCAGTGGCCTCTCCATTGGAACGGGTACGTAGCAAACTGGAACTGGTATCTCAGGTACCAGTGGTTTCTGAACTGTGGATCTTTAGGTTAGGGTCCATGCAGTCACTAAAACTCAAACGACTGCTGGGCATGGTGGTGCACGCCTGTAATCCCAGCACTCAGGAAGCTGAAGCAGGAGGATTACTGTGAGTTCAAAGCCAGCCTGGGCTACAAAGTGAGTTCAAGGCCAGCCTACATTACATAGTGAGACCCCGTCTCAAAAAAACCTCAAAGGAAAACAGAAAATTTCTTTGGGGGAATACAGAGTACACTAGTTAAGCGGGAGGATCCTTTTTGGTAAGTTTCACAGTAAGTCATGGCTTATGTTATGGTCAGAGGGAGAGTACATCTTCTTTGCTTCCAGTGCATATGGAAGTAATTAAACAGCTTACCCCAAGCTGTAATGTAACTTACGTATTATTCCTTTCCTTACAATCTGAAGGGCTGTGGGTTCTCCCTGCCCTTTACTTCCAGGGTATTCCCAGGGGTATTCCGGTATAAAGAAATAATCTTTCAGAATAGGTCCTCAAAAATAAAAGCCAGCTAAACTTTCAGCATAGGAAAATCAGCCCAAAGCTCTCTGATAGTTTTCCCTTAACTGCTTTCTTCGAGGTTCTCTGTTCCTGGCATGGTCCCTCTATAACATGCCAGGAAACTGAGTCTGGTCCTTTCTGGTTTCTACCTGCTAGAGTCCCCACAGGCTTAATACCTTGCACTGATTCTGACATATTGTGGGATAGAAGCACATTAATTCCCCAAAAATAGACACTTAAAAATCTGATCTGTGACTGTTAATCATTCGTTTATACATAGATAACCCCTGTTACATCTTTTTATTATTGCCTTAAGTAATCTACTCAGCATCCTTATCTGTGCACATTAATCCCTGTGATAAATGATAATGTATCTTTTTGCTAAACGTAGTTGTTCTTTTACAACTTCCTTTGCTAAAACAGTATTTAAAGGAAAAATGTAAGATTAAAAAGCAGATGTCCATTGGACAGAAAATGTAAATTCAAGTAAGGGCAAGAATTTTTGTCTTTTTTATTCATTCATTTAATCCACATTGCCTAGAACAGTCTCTGACAAATAGTAAACAATAAATATTTGTTGATTGAATGTGTTATACCTATCCAGTGTTTTTGTATGGGAGTGAAAATATCTCTATATTACTTCCATAATGTAAAATACAGGAAGCAAGCTGCAGCAGACTGTGTATCTTTTGATAAAGTTTAAAAACAAGCCAAATGACTGATACGTTGTTTAAGGATGCACAAATACATAGTAGTTGCCAGGCGTGGTAGTGCATCCTTGTAATCCCAGCACTTGGGAGGCTGAGGCAGGATTTCCATGAGTTTGAAGCCAACCTGGACTACCTAGTGAGTTCAGGCCAGTCTAAACAACATAGTAAAATCCTGTCTCAAAAAACAAAAACGAAAAAAACCCCACAAATGCATGATAGAATCTTTTTAAGAAGAATTGATACATACAAAATTAATCAGACTGGTTCCATCTGATGAGGAAGTACTATAACTCCCAACTCATATGCGATGATAGAGACAACAGATCCAATAGAGGTTCCTGTGAAAGTAGGAATATTCTCTGTGCTGTCAGAATAATGGCTCATAGCCTCATGTGACTATTGAGTACTCAAAAGTGTGGCTAGTGTGACTGAGGGACTGATTTTTAATTTACTTAAATTTAAATGCTACGTACAGCTAGTGACCATGCGGGTAGTACACTTCTGGTTCTTTAATGATCACATCATATATGTTCATTTTACTGCAAAGCATCAAAATTTTACATATATGTTAAAAATGGTCTTGTATATATCGCAAACGAAACTTTGTTTTTGGAAACGGGGTCTTGCTATGTACCCCAGGCTGACTTTGAACTTTCAGGGATCCTCCTGCCTCAGTCTCCCAAGTGCTGGGATCACAGGTGTGCCCCACCACATCTGGCCAAAACATAATTTTTTTTCTGTACCAGAATCGAACTCAGGAACTTGTGCTTGGCAGGCAGGTGCTGTGGTGCTGAGCTACATTCCTGGCTTCTAAAACATAATTCTTAAAAGCCATTTAAGCACTCGGGAGGCTAAGGCAGGAGGATCTTGGTGTGTTTGAGATCACCGTGGGCTAGTAGTGATTCCAAGGTAAGCCTGAACTACACAGTGAGACCTTGTCTCAAAAAAACAAAGCAAGCTGGTTGTGGTGACACACGCCTGTAATCCCAGCACTTGGGAGGCTGAGGCCAGCCTGGGCTACATAGTGAGTTCAAGGACAGCCTGAACTACCTAGTGAGACCCTGTCTCAAAAAACGAACAAACAACCCCCCCCCCAAAAAAAAAGCACAACAATAACAGGGAGGGGAACATTTAAAGTAAAAAAATTGCAAGCTTTAAGAGCTCATCTGGCTGCTTGTAGTTTGGCTACTTCAGCAGGACCTCAGTGTGGCAGTCGGTCCTCATGGCAGTGCTTCAGGGTGACACACTGCCCTCTCCGTGTAACCTTAGACTGTACTGTACGGGGGTTTTTTTTTAGGTTTGACAAATTTACTTTCTTACATTTTTCTTTAATCCATACTAAAATTTCCTGATCACATAACAGCTAGTCGTCATTACAGTAGTGTGGAGTTTACTGCATGATAGGAAAAAGAGAATCATAATATTTTTAAAATTCATAGGACTAGTCATCAAAGAATTTAATACTTACATGGTTGTTGAAGAATTCATCATTTGGTTGTTTCCAGATGTGAAGTTTCCAGTGGTTTATCTGGCAACTTGGAGAAGTGTTTGATTCAAATGTCAAAGAACTTTTTATGTAAAACAAATGTCAATGGAGGATGCTGGAGTCTGAATGTATATGTTAAAGATGCAGAGTAAGACCAGGTGCAGTAATTGCAGCCGCTTGGAAGGGTGAGGAAAGAGGACTGAAAGTTTCAGGCCAGCCGGTAATTTAGCAACACCTTATTTCAGAGTGACAAATAAAAAGGGCTGGGGACATGGCTTGTGGTGGGTTCCATCTCCAGTACGACACACACACACACACACACACACATACACACAGTGCAGAATAAGCATGGTGATGTGTGGTTTAGGGGATTGTTTAGTATTATATTAGAATATTGATAATCTGCATATAGGCTAAACAGGTTTGAAAGTTATCATCACAAAGATCCTGATATACAAATACCTTACGTAAAAACTAACAATTTAGTTTGAGATAACTGACTTGTACTGTTGCCGTTCCATGTCATGCAAGTCTAGGAGCCTTTCTGGGGTGGGTAGGGCTGACAGATGGTAGATCTTTCTTGCTGCATACTAAAACTCTACTTCTGTACCTTGTGTCTGCCAGTGGTCCAGAGCTCCAGCCCAGGAGGTGGTGGTGGTGGTGGTGGCGGTGGGGGTGAGGAAGAGGACAGTCAGCAGGAGTCTGCAACTCCTGATCCAAGTGGAGGCTTTCGAGGAACAATGGAAGCAGACCGAGGAATGGAAGGTTTCATCAGTCCCACGGAGGCCATGGGGAATAGTGGCGGGGCCAGCAGCTCCTGTCCTGGCTGGCTTCGAAAGGTAATTGCTTAGAAGAGATGCCTTTTGCAGGGACTAGAAAAGAGTATGTCCTATTAAACTGTTTTACAGCAAGGAATCTAAATTTCTGATTTTTTTTCCTAGAAATAAATCACAAAATCACTGATCCTTTTTCTTCCTAACAAGAAGAGATACAAAATATTCTCATACCTGTATTACTTAAATGGATGTAAATTAATGTAATCTACCTTGAAGCTGGGCATGACGGCTCACACCTGTAATCTCAGCACTTGGGAGGCTGTGGCAGAAGGATTGCAAGTTCAAGCCCAACCCGGGCAACTTAGCGAAACCCTGTCCCAAAATAAACAATAAAGGAGGGGGGCACACTGAGGGAGTAGCTCCATGCAGAGGCCCTGGGTTCAATCCTCAGTACTAAAAAATGGCACTTTTTGTGGTGCACGTGCGCAAAGATCAAGCTTACAGTTTTTGTACTGTTTATAGCACAGGAACAGTGGGACAGACAGTTAGATGCCTTATAGTAGGAAAATGGTCCGTGAAGGTTAAGGTGCAGACAGTAAGAGTGCTGCAGTGTGTGCATATGGAAAGTTAGTTACAACATAGGGCTATGCAGCGGGTGAGGTCGCTGCATGATCTTGTTCTTTTAGAAAAATATGCAATGCCCAGAGAAGTGTGGGCAAGGCTATATATACTGATCATTTTAAGTGTTACTCTAAGCAATGAAATTGCTGCTGGTTTTTCTTAGCTTCCTTGCCCATCTGTATTTTCTTATTCTGTACCATGAACCTTTACAGTTTCTGAAATTTTAAAATTTTTTCAAAATGAAAAGATTTAAAGTTCTTTAACCAACAAGACCAATCTCGAAAGTCACCTGAAGAGGATGAGCACAGGATGTAGCGTGGCGCCATCCGGCCCGCCAGCGTCCTGTGTCGATCAGTGTATGGAGACGTACTGCAGACTCTGCAGACTGTCTGGGTTTGAGTTTGAATTTGTGTCACTGTTGTGGGCTGTTGAAAGGGTGGCACTTTGTTTCCAGGTGGGGCAAGAGATGTTTCTAACCGCAGCTGTCTGCCCACTAGAGGGCGCTTGGGTCATGAGAGAGAAAGCTGTGGAACTAGCTGGAGTTGTTGCAGACAGAACTGATGAGACTCTGTCGCATGCACACAGGAGCTGGAAAACGCAGAGTTCATCCCCATGCCAGACAGCTCATCTCCCCTCAGTGGCGCGTTCTCCGAATCCGAGAAGGACACCTTGCCCTATGAAGAGCTGCAAGGACTCAAAGTGGCCTCCGAAGTGCCGGTGGAGCCCCAGCCCCCCACAGGAGCCTGGGTAACTGAACTTTTTGCCTTGGCATCACAACTAGGGAGACAGTTCCTACAGACTCTGCCCAGTTCTCCTGGCGGCACTCTGTCCTTCAGCTTCACTGGCCCACCTGCCCTGTGTCCGCTCATCTCACTGCCTGTCCAGCTACACTGAAAGCTTCTCTCCCCGCAAGGATGAACTGAGTTACCTCAGAACAGAACTTATCCTCTCAGTCCTGGCAGCCACTTTCCTACCCCAGAGGATTCTCTTTTCTCTGCCTTAGAAGCTCTAAAATTGAAGTTCCAGAATTCCAATTCACTGCTTTTCATATACTCCTAGTATAGGCTGGAGGTTTTAAATGTAAAGAAAGGGTCAGGCATGATGACTCACGTCTATAATCACAGTACTGGGAGGCTGATACAGGAGGACTGCTGCAAGTGGAAGGCCAACCTGGGGTACATAGTGAATTCAAGGTCAGCCTGGACTACACAGTGAGACCCTGTCTCAAAAAAAAGTAAAACATGTTTCAGTTTACTAAGGGAGCAACACATGTACATCTGACTTTGGTAGAAATGAAATTGCAGTAAACACCACAATAAAACTCTAAACCAGGGGCCACCAAACATTTTCCATACAAGGCCACATAGTAATTCTTTTAGATTTTGTGGGCCATACAGGCTCTTTTGTAGCTACACAGCTCTCACATTGCAGCATAAAAACAGTCACAGAAAGACTTCGTGATTGGGGCTGGGGATTTAGCTCAGCGGCACAGTGCCTGCCTGGCAAGCGGGAGGTCGTGAGTTCGATTCCCGGTACCAGGAAAAAAAAAGGAAAGAAAGACTTGGTTATTTTAAGACTTGGATTTTGGAGCATTTCCAATTTTCAGACAAGGGATGTTCAACCTGTAACACATAATACAGGAGTAGAGTACATGCCTGTGTTTCAATAAAACTTTACTTACAAAAATAGGCAGAAGGCCAGAATTGGCCAATGGGCTGTCATTTGTTGACCTTGGCTATAAACAAAGCAGAGTAGAAGAAGGAGAAAAACCCAGACTAGGATAATTGAAAACCTTCCCAGAAGAAGTAATAAAACCTTTCAAAATTCAAGGTGAATGTTTGCATGAATGTTGACCCGCTGGATCGCAGTGTCCTCACAGTGATCAGGACTTACTTCAAACCAAATCATGCTTTTCCCCACTGTAGCATTTTAAATGAGAATATCAGCACACTTTAAAATCTTTTCACAAAATCCTCCAAAAGAAGTTACTGTTCTTCTGTCTTAGAGTAATAGGGACTGAGGCATTGAGCATTCCCGTGCCTCCTTCGTGCCTGGTGCGACTGTCACCCCGCCATTCTTCTGTTCCTCTTGCACCTCTTTGTGTGTGTCTGTGTCTTACTCACTTGTAGGTAAATCTGTCTGGCCTGGGGAGCTGTGCCCCTGGAGCAGACCCTTCCCCAATCTGTCCCTCTTTCCTCTAGCTACCCCGGCTGACTGCTGCAGTACCTTGTACTGGGAAGGGAGCACCAGTGACTCCTGCCTGTGCATGTAGCACTCTGCAGGTGGAGGTTGAGAGATTGCAGGGTCTCGTGTTAAAGTGTCTGGCTGAACAACAGAAGCTACAGCAAGAAAACCTCCAGATTTTTACCCAACTACACAAGCTGAATAAGAAATTAGAAGAAGGGCAGCAGGTAAGAGCATTACAAGAGTAATTCAATTTCTAAGTCTGTTTTGAGCACTTACAAAAACAAAAGACCAAGACTTATGCTCTGCATGTCCTCACATTTGAATGATGTGACTTTTATAATTAATCCCAGAACCCTTGGGCCTTAATCAGGCACCTGGACTGAATCATTCTCTTCACCAAACCTCTGCTGCTTTTTGTTACTGTTTGTGGTTACTGTTTTTTCTTTTACTTTTTACTATAAAAATTTTTAAACATTACAGTGAATACCCAATGTACTCACCATCTAGATTCAGCAGTTTTTAATATGCTGCTATATTTGTTTCCTCTGTGTGTGTCTGTAATATATAAAATATATACATTTTGCCAAAGCATTTTAAAGTAGACTATAAAAATCATTCATAGTCCCCCTAAGTAAGCCCTTCAAAGGTAAAGATGCACATTCTTCTGGACAACCACAGTATTATCTCCACACCTTAACAGTTAACACTAATATTCTCAATTTTCATCTAGTACCCAGTTGATCATTTGAATTTTCCCATTAAAAAAATCCTTTATTAGAATCCTGTCAAAACCTCCACATTTGGCTGGGGATACAGCTCACTGGTATACCTCCTGCCTGGCAAGCACAAGGCCCTGAGTTCGATTCCTGGCACCAAAAAAAAAAAAAACCCACATTCCATTTGGTTATGTCTCATTTTAATCTAGAACAGTTCCCCTGCTACAACCAGTTTTTTAAAATACATTCTAAGCCGGGCGTGGTGGCGCACGCCTGTAATCCCAGCACTCGGGAGGCTGAGGCAGGAGGATCATTGCGAGTTCAAGACCAGCCTGGCCTACAAAGTGAGTCCAAGGCCAACCTGAACTGCATAGCGAGACCCTGTCTCAAAAAGACTGAATAAAAATAAATAAATAAAATACATTCTAATGTCATTGACTGCAGAAATAGAGCCAGTTGTTTGACAGAATGTCCCACATTCTGTGTTTGTCTTGTTTTCTAGAATGTTAATACATTCTTTTGTTATCCTGTCTTTTCTGAAAACTGAAAGTTAGATTTAAAGCTTAATTAGATTTAAGTTAAATGCTTTTGGAAAAACACTTCAAAGGTAATGCTGCTCCCATTGTCTTTTAGAGAGCTATGCTATTGCCAGGCACCTTGGTACATGCTTATAATCTCAAGCAAGGCTGAGACCAAAAGATACGGGTTTGAGACCAGCCTGGGCAACATAGTGAGACCATCTCAAAATTTTAAATGGGGGTGTGTAGGGATGTAGCTCTGAGGTGGCACATTCTCCTAGTATGTGTGAGGCCCTACGTTCAATCCCCAACACTACAAAAGTAAATAAACAGTGAATTAATTAAGTATTACTCTGCACAGAATCAGCTAGGTATAGGAAAGTGGATTTCATCTGGAGCTTTGCCATCCACCAGTTTTATGTGTTTGGACTTTTTGCCTTGTTTCTATGAGCTGAGCCCTAATTTCTCACTAAATGAAGACACTAATACTTCCTATTCTGTCTGTATGATTGTTTTAAGTATTAAGTAAAATAGTATCTATGAAAATACTTTAAAAAGTAATAGACATACTTAAACTAAGATTGGCAGCTGTAGCAGGCAAGATTGTTTTGCCTAGGACAAAAAATCAGTTTTAAAATTGAGAGTTCTACAGCTCAGAACACCCTGCAGTGCCAGGTAAACAACAGCTGATCACCCTACCTGCAACAAATGTATCGGTGTGAACTTGTGTGTGTAAAGAGAGGAATACTGGGGACTGAACTCAGGGCCTTTGCAATGAATCACATCCCCAGTCCTTTTCTTATCGTTTATTTTGAGACAGTCTGCTAAGTCACTTACTTGCCCCTGCTGGACTTAAACTTGTGATCTTCCTGCCTCAGCTTCCCAGAGTATGAGATTCCAAGTGTGAACTTTCTCTAAGGTAGTACTGTGAACTTCCCACAGGACTACAGCTATAAATTCTTAGAGGCTGGCATAGAAAATCTCTTCCTGAACTGCTGTGACCAGGCAACACCGTTGCTAATGTGGAACTTCATTCTATCTGGACAGGTGGGGATGCATTCCAAAGGAACTCAGACAGCAAAGGAAGAGATGGAAATGGATCCAAAGCCTGACTTAGATACAGACTCCTCCTGGTGCCTCCTGGGAACAGAGTCCTGTCGATCCAGCCTCTAGTCTCCTGAGCCTGCAGAGCCCCCAGGAAACTGGGACCCAAAGAACTTCACAGCACACTTACTGAATGCAGAGAGCAGCTTCCCTGGCTTTGTTCACTTGCAGACAAGGAGCATAAGGCAGAGGCGCTGAAGCACTTTCCTTGTACGTTTGGAGAGTGGCATTGCCTTTTAGATAGGATCTAGAGTGAGTTTTCTTGTTTTGGAGAATGGAAGGGCCTTGTAGGCCTGGCTTTGTCATCAGTGACTGCCATAGCAACAGCAGCTCTGTACCTCATGTGTTGATCCCACCTTTGAAGAAGAGACGCAGTGCTCACTTTAATTGCGCTGGTAGCAACTCATATCCCACTTATCATTTTCACCATTGATTCTAAGGTGCCTTGGGAATTCAGCACCAGGCATTGCACCTCTGGGTGAGGAGGGAAAGTGTAAATCTGGAGTGGGCTGGGATCGGGCACAGCCTGTCCAGGGCTCTCTGGAGAATGGTAAAGTATCCTGAGCCCTCTCAGACGCCCTGAGTTCAGGAAAATTTGTGTGGTGGAATCAATGTAGGATGCATTTTCAGAAAGTTCAGTTACTTCATGCAGCTAAATGCTCCAGGGGAAAAAGCATGTTTGGACTGTTTTTCCTCTGAAGGTTGGTAAGATGTCTTTAATGCGAAGTAGAAGAACAGATCATCCTCAGCACACAGTGGCCAGGTCAGGGTGGGATTTCTCAGCTCTGAAAAAAGGAAGGAGTGTCTCAGAGATTTGAGCCAGGCACCTTAGGCAAGGGCCTCAGGAGAAGACTGAGAGGGAGAGGAGCACCTCCTTCAGTGCTTCTACCTGGCTGGATCACTAAGTCTCCTGCCCCAGGAGGGCTTCTTGTGCCTCTGCCTTCCTGGCTCTTAGGAGTCTGATCTTGACATCAGCAGCCCCAGCCCCTCCCTCTCTGTATGTTTAGTCAGTATTTCTCTCCTTTTGGTGTTTTTTGAAGCCATGTCATAACCAGTGAATCTGTATCATCTTCCCTATTCACGTGGCCCAAACCAGCACTGAACCCCAGGGTTCCTAGAACCCTAACACAACAGGTAGAACCTGCCAAGTGAAAGAAATGTGGCTGCAGTTTTTTTTTTTTTTTTTTTGGTCTTTTTGAGACAGGGTTTCACTACACAGTTCAGGGGGGCCTTGAGTTCACTATGTAGCCCAGGCTGGCCTTGAACTCAAGGTGATCCTCCTGCCTCAGCCTCCTGAGTGCTGGGATTATAGGTGTGTGCACTACCATGCCTGGACCAGCAAACTCATTTCTAATGTGTCCTTGTTGTCAAGAGCAAACTAGCTTTCCAAGGGGACACAGTAAAGAATAAAACTGTATATAGGTAGTTCCAGGCAGGTGTTTGATGGTTTCCCTTAAGGGTGTGAGGTTAGGGTTTCCATAAAGCCATATAAAATGCTCCTGTATTTTGAGTCACAGAAGCTGTTTTGGTGAGTTTCATATCCTTCCTCTGTTTTGTTTTTTTTTAATCGGGACTTAAACTCACAACCTCACACTTGCCAGGCAGGCACTGTACCACGGAGCTATATCCCAGCCCCCTCTTCGTCTCTCAAGATCTAAATTAATTTTGTTTTATTTTCCCCAAACCAATCTATTTAATATTGCAGGAGAACCTGTGCAAGGGAAATGTTACCATCTCCCTAAAACTAGTGGTGTAAAGGCTGGTGCTGGTCAAGAAAACAAGCTATCTCTGGGGAAGGGCAGCTCTGTCCAGTGGGATCTTTGATTTGATGTCCCATTGTTTTCTCAATTCTGAGAAGCATAGTACAATAGTACTAATGTAATCACTGAAGCCTTTTCCTAAAATAAGGGAAGGGCCAAGCCTGAATTAAAGTTACAGGATCTGGGGTTTTGCTGTAAACCCGAACAGTGGTTTTGGTTCATCATGTAAATGCGACTGCGGTTTTCTTAAGGACTAACTGACCTTTCATGTCCCTGTATCCTCATGCTCATCATCTCAGCAGGCCTGAGCAGGAGGGTTATTTGGGGTTTTTGTCATGAGGATCGCTTCTGCTCTGGAGCTGAGGGACATGGGCACGTTGCTGAGACTGTGGGGTGACAGCGTGTGAAAGTGGGTAAGAGCCCTGCTCTGGTTCCAGAGGGGAGTCATTCCCTAGCAGTGGAACTCAGTGGTGAGTTTCTCTAGTATGTTCCCTTGGGAGGTTGAGGTTTGCTGTTAATCTGATTGAGAGACTTAAGTTCTGTGCCTTAGAGACAACTTGCACTTTCCCAAATTGTGCCTGCGATAACCATAGTATTTTTCCCACCAAACAGCTATGCAAGCAGAAACCAGTTCAAAGGTGGCAGCAGTGCGTTGGATAGAGTGAAAGGCAAGGCGGAAGAAATGCCTTTGAATGGTTTCCTGTAGCTAATTCTCAAGTTTTGTCCTGCTTTTCTTCTTTATGCAGTGGTAGATGCTTTTGGTTTTCCGGTAGTTTTGCTTGGAGTTACAGTATAACCTGGGTTACTCCTAGTGCTCACACTGTTGCTGAAGAACTAGCTTACTGTTAGCCAGATGCTGGAAAGATTGAGGATGGAATGGTTTGGCATTTCTGTTTTAAATAAACATTTAAACTTTCAATTAGTGCTGTGCCTTAGTAAGCCTCACACCCATCTCAGTCGCTGGACGTAAAATAGCCATGTTCTAGGCCTTCATGATCCTTGATTCCAGAAGTCTTTCTGTAAGTGAAGTGTTCTTGCAGCAGAAACAGCGCAAGGAACACTGCACAGAAATAATCTCTGCTTCTTCCTCGTACTCTTCCCGGCACAGTCATTTCTGCTGTCGGATCTTTTTTCTAAAGAAGATAAAATATCTTTTTTTCTATAAGACAGTGCTAAAAGTACAGAGGGAGGGGAAAAAATGGCCCATTGAAAGTAGGGTCTCCTCTTGCACTTACCTCCTCAGTCCCAGGAGGGGCCTTTCCAAGCGATTGTGCCAGTTTGTTTATGAAACCCTCAAAGAGACTGAGCTGTATTTGGTCTCCCTGGGCAGAGCACAGCCAAGTTACAACTTCTCTTGGCTGAACGTATTGCTAAAGCTTAAGGCAAAAACAGGCTAAAACTCAACTTTCATTTGGTTTGTCATCTGTTCAGAAACACTGATAATAGAACACTTTAGAGGCACAGATGTATTTCAGACACATTCATTCAAATAAGATCCATGGGGCCCCCACAGAAGTATTAGTCATGATCGTGTCAGGGCAGAGCAGGTCATACTCAGTATTGTAAAACATGGTGGTTCCTGCTGCAAAGCCAGAAGTCATTTATTGCTTCAGTGATTAACTCTGGAAATAAAACACGCTGATCATTAAACCTCACAAAGTCATACGCATCAGGGAGAAAAGCTGAAAAGTCACATCTCCACTACCTTCTGTGTAGTTGTGGAGAGTGATCAGTGACCAGAAGCAAATGTGGACCAGGGGTGCTGTGCTGCATGGAATAGGAGGAAATGTCTTCTTGGCCTGTCTACACTGCCTTTCTACTGCTTAAACAGATTAATGGGCTTCATTTTGACAGGTTCATACATGCATGTAACATGCTTCAGTTATTTTCACTGTACACACTTTCCAATGGCATAATCGTCACCATGAGACTTTTTCCCATTGCTTAATTTTTTGAACTTTAAAATTTGCTTACTAGCACTAAAGGCTCTTGGGTAAAGTAATATAAAATTAGGGACATTTACAAGCAACATTATGTGTCCTCTCTCATCCCATCCGGGAAGAGACTAGATAGAAAACAGTTCTTACCTCTTTCCAAAAGCCAAGTCAAGCTAAATTTAAAAGACTAATAGAATAACCAGTCTAAACATAAGATCAAAGGAAACGTGAAGGCAATGACTATTTCCTCAGCAACTTAAGAATGAATTACTGCATCCTTATGTCTGTAGAAACACTCCCTAAGCACACAGCATTTGTTCTCTCTGAAGAGCCCTGACCTGTGACCCTAATAACATCATCTAGGGATCTCAAACCCCAGTTTGAGGCCTGTGGGGCCAGGCAGATAAAGGAAGTGAAACAGGCCCCACTGCTGCATTCCTTGAGCCACTGATTCCAAACCCCTCCCGATCTGTTTGCTGTCCAGTGTCTCCTGAACCTCCAGCTTTTCAAAGAGATGCTCCATAACCCAGTATCTGAATGTCAGATCATATCTGTAATGCTGTCCCAGCCAATAAAACACTGGAGAAAAGCTGTCCACCAGCTGCCACTTTGTGACCTGGACCATGTGCTGCTTTTAACTCCAAGTGTGGAACTTTATTGTCTTCCTCATTAAATGTGCCTGGGGAATGGACATACTTGGTTAAATATCCAGTGCCTCTGATCTTTCCTCAAGGACTCATTCATTTTTTTAATTTAAGTTCCCCAAGCCTATTAATTGAGGACCTACCTTGTGCTAGGCACTATTCTACACAGAAAATTAAAAAGATCTGGTCCCTTTTCTGTCAGCGTTTATTCTTCAAAATAGAATTTAACTATGTTACAATCAGCAGGGACATGTGACACGGCAATGTCCCAGCTTGCTTTGATGATACATCTGCTACCTCATTTAAAAAGTCATTCAACCAACATAATGTGAAAGCAGAGAGCTAGCAGCTCCTTCCTTTTTCAACGTATGAAACCCATTAGAAAAGAACAAGTAGAAGTATATTTCCCCTCATCCTAACTCTGTAAAGTATATAAAAATGTTGCCTTTATTACACATACGCCACGGGGAAAGTTTAGGATATGTCGGTGCCCTAACATTGCATACTTTTATTGGCATTGGGCCAGAACCATGCTTCGTGGAGGCCAAGGACAGACTTTCATTAATAATGCCTTAAAGCAAAATCGTATTGTCTTTTATAAGAATTGCCATCTGGGTGACCACAATCCTCTGACCCCAACTCCTCTCAATTCTCCTATTTCTTGCAAGAACATGAAGGGTTAACAGAAAGTGGCCACATGTGAGCAGAAAAATAGCTAGATGCAGGCACTTCAGCACAAACCACAGCCACGCCTGTGAGAAAGAGCTTTAATGTCGCCTGTTCACTATTCAGTGTCTTCACCCATCAGTTCCTAGGGCCTGAAAATGAGAAACACCAGCCGAGGTTGTAATTCAGTGGGAAGCTGGGCTTCCTGCTGCGTTCTGCTGCTTAGCTATAGCTCTCTCCCCGATTTTAGCAGAGCTGCGTGATGTAAAATTTTGGGAGGTTTCTTCTCTGCTTTATACCAAAGTATTCTAGTCCTATTTATTGCTGCAGAGAAGCAGAGCCTTCTAAACTACTGGAGGAGGTTTTTGCTATTGTCTGCTCAACTATGGTGCTTTCTTGGAGGTGGTGGACGGTTCCTGATGGTCTTACACTTGGGAATGTGTCGCTCAGCGACCTTGGGAGCAAAGTGGCGGCTACAATGAGAACACTGAACATAGTCTGGGTTTTCTGCAGGTAGTATGGGAGGTAAGTCTGAGGGGTTTCCACCTTTGGCAATGACTTGCTGGATCTCTCGTGCCTGACGGAGGGTACGGATGAAAGATTCGTGCTTCTGTCTCCAGTTGCTCTTCTGAGGAGGTTCAGCCTGTAATGTAAAAGGAAGACTAATCACTCAGTGTGTCCTTCCTGAGTCTCCATGAGAATGACAGAAGGCAGTTAAAAGGGTACTAACCCACAAGGTCAAAAAACAAGAAAGGAGCAACAGTGGTAAGTGACTTGCCAGAGTGGAGGTACAGATCCAGGGCCTGTGGGGGCAGGGGTACTATTAGAAGACAAACCATTTTCCTAGCAGAACCCCTGAGAGGGCCAGTGCTTGGAAGTAGCAGGTTGTTGAAACCAGAGAGGTACAGGACTAAAAATAAGCTGGTTCCTGCCGTGACTTGTGTATCCACAAGTCCAACACCCCACCCTCACAGAAGAACAAGAACTTTCTGCAGAAATTGAACTGGATTGTTTCAAACTCAGGCAATCCAGACAGGGTAGAAAACGGTAAATCTTGAGGGTGAAAATGGGGAATAAGTGCAGTCTACATAGCAAACTGTGAACTGTCAACCTTCTGGTACCCCCTCAGGGAAGAGGAAGCTCTCTAGATGCATCAAGCAGCCTTCAGACATGAACCTTGCAGAACCCCAGTTACAGTGCTATGTGACAATCTTCCTCTGAAGGACTTTAATCAACAAGCTTTACTTAAACTTGAATATGAAAAGACAGCCACTAATCAGGTATTTGACAAAAACTGTAACAAAAGACCCCCAGAAAGTATACAAACAAAAAGGAGCAGCAACAAGATGAAACTTTTTTTTTTCGTCACAGGAGATTAAACCCAGGGGCTCCTGCATGCTGTGTTCATGCTCTACCACTGAGCTATGACTCGAGGCCTGTTTTGTTTTTTGTTTTTTTTTTTTATTTTGAGATAGGGTCTCCCTAAGTTGCCCAGACTGGGCTCAAGTTTGCAATTCTTCTTCTTAGGCTCCCCAGATAATGGGGATTATAGGCATATAACACCACAACCAGACAATTTACTCTGACAGAAAACATAATATCAACAAAAAGGATATCAGAAAAAATTATATCAATAAAATGAGTATACTATGAAAAGAAACAACTGATAGCTGGGCATGGTGGCGCACGCCTGTAATCCCAGCACTCTGGAGGTTGAGGCAGGAGGATCCTTGTGAGTTCGAGACCAGCCTGGGCTACAAAGGGAGCTCAAAGGGGCTGGGGATTTAGCTCAGCGGCAAAGTGCCTGCCTGGCAAGCACAAGGTCGTGAGTTCGGTTCCC